GAGTCCGAACCGGAAGTCGTCAAGCCACTTTCTTGGTTGTCCTTGTGGAGAAGGTTTTCGTTGGCGGAACCTTGCATCAAGCCCGAGATCGTTCAGATTTGTTTGGGACTGGGAATTCTGCAGGATGGACGTGAAAAGACCAGATCCTCCAAGTCGGTTCTTTCGCAGGATTTGGATCTGTTCAACAAGAAGCTCGCTCTTCGTTCTTTGATCGGTGCGCTATGGCTCTTCTTCTCGCCCCTCATCGTCAGTTTCGATCAGCCGGCGTGGTTCTTGGCAACCTTGGCGTAGATCATCGCACAGTTCGAGATCTTTTCGTGAACTTTCGCCAGTGATTGACTTCCATTGTTGACAGACTTAACGAAGAGCTCATCATCAGGGGTGCTGGCTGATATCGAGTTGGACGAGATGATTGAGTTTTCATTGACCATTCAGGTTCTGTGGCTCCAGTACATTGCGATCGTGCGCCGAGGAGCGCTAAAATCTTCTTACACAAGCTTCCGGACAAGTTGACCGCTTCCGGACAAGGCGGAGGTGGACCTCTGAGCCTCCAGGAGCTCAAGGACACTATGGTGAGTTCCAAGAGAACGAGCCGCATCGCCATTGGGAGCGTGTGTTACACGGACAGCGCTAAGGCCTAATAAGAAGTTGGATTCAGAAGAGCCTTTGCCGGCACTGTGCAGTGGAGCTTTGGGAGGTCCTTCCTTCGCTCACTCGAAGCTTGCGCATGGCAATGTCCGGCACAAGCCCCCGCACCCTGAATTCACACGTCGGTTTAAGCTGAGGATTTGGAATGGCCAACAATGGGTGCACGAGATTAGAGTCGGAGGCACCCAGAAGCTAGACGGTTTCTTTGCTTCCTTCCGCAGAGAGGTCGGCAAAAAGTGTTTAACACCACAGGTCCGTCGCCGGAGACTGCCGACGCCATGGAGTCACAGCTTCATCAGCGAGTGAGATGTTTCCAGTTCTCGTATTGGTTCTCTTTCACAGACGCTCTTCAAGTGTTTGGAGAAATGCGCAAGCTGGAGCGCATTTCGGTAGGCTCTGTCGCATGGGCAAGCTTGAAGCACTTTTCCAAGCAAGTTCCTGCTGCAGCAGAAGAGCCACCAGCGCCTGTTGCAGATGTAGTTGAGGAGCCACCGGTGCCTGTTGCAGATGTAGTTCAAGAGCCACCGGTGCCTATCATTGATGTAGGCGACGGCGATCAGAGTGACCAAGACGATGATAGTGAAGTTTTGTGTGATTTTTCCGAAAACGAGATGCCGAATGAGATTTTCTTCGAAAGAAGAAGGGCTAGACAGCTGAGCTAGGCAGCTAGTACAGTGTTCACGTGCTTTTGCGCCGAAAAGGCGTTTTTCATGATTTTGACGTTGACCTTCTTCGAGGGGAGAAGGTCGCCGACAGTTCACGTGCTTGTGCCTCTGCGCTGAAAAAGTAAGAGTTTTGCTTGGGCTTTTGCTTGCTTCGGGCTTGTCACGAGTGTTGTCGTCCCAGCATTTCTGCCTAGGAAGCGTTTTGAAAAAGCTGTCTTGGCTCTGAGTTTTGCATGAACCTTTGATTTTCAGTGAAGAAGCCAAAGTGATTGAATTCTAAACGCAGCGGTTGGTCCCAAAAAGTTCCCAAAATGTCATTAGCAGAAGTGTTTCGTGGCATTTGGTGCCAAAGTGCACCAAGCAGACGTGTTTTTCGACATTTAGCCGCAGGCGCAGCATTTCAGGCTGTCTTGAGCGTCTGCGCCCACAGTTTCGGACATTTGACCTTAGAGGCAAAGCTTTTTGGGCGGTGTTGAGTGTCTGGCCTCAAAGTCAAAGTAGCAGACGTGGTTCTGGAGACTTGCCTTTTGCGGCAGTGTTTAGAGTCTGGGGTTTAGGGTTTGGGGTTCAAGACCAGGTTTATGTTTCGGGCTTAGGGTTTAGGGTTTAGTTTATTTAAGGTTTAGGGTTTAGGGTTTAGCTTCCAAGTCAACGTGCGCCGCTCCAGGCGCCACACCTTCAAGACAATGCGTCAGGAGAGCCGGCAAGACGGCAACAGCAGACATGTTTTTGAGTCCGTGGCCAAGAGGTTGGTGTCCCAAGTTCGGCTGTGCGCCGCTCCAGGCGCCACGCCCTTCAGAAAGGTGCACCGTTGGGGCCGGTGGCGCGGCTTTGGGTGCGCTCGCCAGCGAAAAGGGGGGCGCGGCATCTGGAGCGGCGCGGCGTTTTAAGTGGTTAAGTTTACCGCGCTCAACGCCGCGCCCGGCAAACCGCCCAATTGTAGGCGACAGACAAAGTATGTACCAGCAGCAGGCGAAGGGATTCCGAGCGACGGTTCGTCTGTTTGAATCGGTGTGAAACCGAAAAGTAAGATAAGCGCATGAGCCTGGCTCAATGCGACACTCCTTGGACCGGAAAGGTCCTGCAGTGTAATGGTACCTGAAAGGTCCGAATACACTCTGAAGCACGGCTAAGTGCATGTCACAACAAAAACTAACAGACAGAGCCCGACTTCGGACAGAGGAATTCACAAAACAGAACTGCCTACGGAGAAAGGCACCACAACGCTCTACAAGGAGCTCAAACAGACTAAAATTAGTGGGAGTGCGAGCTTAATACATCGCCTGCCGCTATTGCCCGAGACCAACAACACCAGCCACCACGCTGAGATGAAAAAAGCAAAATTCAGTTTAAATATAACTGAAACGCTTTAATGAGCTGGACTTTCAAAGTAGACCAAAAAAGAAAAAGCGTAAAAGGACTTGCTCAAATCTGCAGAACTATGACTTTGTTGCGTATGGCTCATTTCAATTTGTTTTCATCTTGAAGAAAACGTAAAGTTCTGGCTCATTTAATTTGTTTGCAAGGCGTTTTGTTTATTAAATATTTTTGCTTTTCACTTCTGTTGACCCGATTTAAAGTATTCTATGTGTGTGCTTTTGGTCATTCAAGTAGCTCATTTTCGATTTTTTTTTTTGGACCCAATGGAATGTGATTTTTAGACTTGTGGCCAAGAATTTTTTTGTGTTTTTTTTCCGACTGACTTGCCTGGCCTGCCAAAACTTCTGAAATTTTTCCTCTTGTCAATATGCTGTGTATGCCGCCCTTGGCATGCATGCAGCTGATGCTTTCGTATGCAGCTTACCGAATGCGCACGGTGCCGAAATGTTTTTGTGCACTTCGCGCTCTCCCTCGAAAGTTGTGGTCGAACTGCCCAATCTGCGGGCGCTGCTTCAAAGGGAGCGGTTAGAAGAAGTTCTGGAATGAACCTTGGGCCTTTATTACATGTGCAGGGGCCTGTAACTCCATTGTCGTGTTTGTCGGATGCCTGGAATCTGATGTTGAAATCTCTTAGTAGTACAAAAACACTGGTTCTGGTTGGGGATGGCTGCGATGTGGTCAGCTAGTTGGTTCCAAAAAGGTTGACGATTGCACCATCGCGCAATGCGCCAATCGAGCGATTCTGTTCTGTTCGAAAATGTTCTGTTGGTCACTCTTCTCACAGGTTATTCCGAATGACATCGGCTTTTGATGTTTATTTTCCCGAAAGCATCGTGAAATTTTCTTCCGTACGAAACCCTTTAGAGAAGTACATAGGATCAAGTACACAGAGTGCTGGCAGAGTCAAACGTACAGAGCATAGTCCACAGAGTGAAGTACGTCAGAGTGAAGTACATCAGAGTGAAGTACATCGAGTGAAATGCATGGAGTGAGGTGCATAGTACACAGAGTGAAGTACATGAGAGTCAAGTACATCGAGTGAAGTGCATCGAGTCAAGTGCATAGTACACAGAGTGAAGTATATCAGAGTGAAGTGCATCGAGTGAGTGAAGAACATCGAGTGAAGTGCAAAGTCAATTGCATTTTTCCGCGCAACCCTTTGCGTGGATGATGCGCGAACGCAAGGTAAAGGTGCACCTTTTCAGCATGTCGGCGTTCCGCACAATTTGCGTGGATAGACGTTGTCGAGCGTAGTTGCAACTTCTAGGCGCTCGAGGCAAAGTTGCAAGTTTTAGACGCTTCGCTTTGCGCCCCTTTGCCTGAATTGGCGGGTTGAGTGCGCGAAAAAGCAAATTTTCGGGCAGTGTGTGTTGAGCACGTAAACGCAAGTTGCTTTTGGGCCACAACGGTTGGCATGGCGAGAGAAGGGCATGGATGTTTATGAAACTTTACAACTTTGTGCCTACTTCACTCAGACCAAATTGCATTGTTCACTCTTGGAAGCCAGCTTCAGCTCTGTTTTAATCTATGCTTCTATAAGCCTTGTGCTTCACATGTGGCAGGCTCTGCACTACGTCCGACGCCTCTGGTATGTTTCGGTGAATTTAATTGTTCACTAGTCAGAGCTCTATGTCGCACTGGGTTCGGAGCGCAACCTGCTACGGGGTTTGGCATGAGGCGTCCATCAGACTTTGGACATCAAAGCCGTGGGTTTTGAAGTTCTGGGGTTACAAGGGAATTGCATGTGCTCAACCTGTGGTCTTTTCAGCTTCTTTGCTTCCCCAGCATGTTCTGCAGCCTCATTAGGCTGCCAAGCTTCTTGAGGGCTTTTCTGTTTGAAGGACAAGACTTGCAGCTTGTTTTCCAAATCAGAATCTGCAGCAATGCATGCCGATGTCAGCGCTGAGCCAGGCGAGCCACTAAGCTTAGACAAAAAACCCAGATCCAAACTGAATTCTGCGAGAATATGCTACAAGGTTGAGGGGTATGCTCACCATGATGAGCTAACACTCCCAGGTCCCAGCTTCAGCCGCAGGATGGTGGCCTGTCGTCGCGGTCTCAATCAAAGTTCGGCTTTGTCAGTTTCTATCTTGGTTCGGTACAGGGGTATAAAGCACTGGGTGGCGACACAAGTCCACAGTGTCGGTGTTTGACAGGAGCCAACGACATTCATGGTTGGTGCATGCAGTACTGACATCATGTGCATGTTGCGGTACACCCGAGCCAGGCCTGAGCCGACCGCGACTCTCTCAGGCTCCAGGTGTTCGCAGCCATCCAGGTGTACAATTGACCTGTTTGCGCACGTGAATGGCGACAAATGGCAGCATGCCATCCTTGGCAAGCTCTGTAAAGTACATGCTGCTTGCAAGCGCACTATACGAGCCTTTGCGCAATGCGTTGCACAATCTGGGAACAAATGTCGGAGGAGTGGGAGGCGTGGGAGGCCTCTGCAACATGGGCAACCCTGATGACTGCGAGAGTCTTGCGGGTCGCACTGGAAACTACTGCTTCCAAGCTGGTCTGTGGTCAGGTTTGACCGGCTTCGCCCTCGTGGTTTTGCTGGTGTGGACTAGTCCCATTTTCTTGGGGGCGCTGCAGAAATCTGTATCCACAGCGAAGCCTGTAGCTTCTGAAGACCGAGGACGTGACAGTGGTGATGAACCAGGCGCAGAACCAAGCCCAGAACCAGAGACAGCATCGATTGAGCTCGACGGGGTTCTGATGATTTGGTCGGGTTTGTCGTGTCTCTGGTTCGGCATGCCCTTGGCCTACATGTTGGCGGACCCATTCTATCGCAGCAGCGCCCTCCACTTTGTCTTAGCTGTTGCTCTCGCAGCTGCGTTTCCGCTCAGCTGGCATCTTTCCCTACTTGCCCTGCCTCCCTGCAAGCCTTTAGGCCCTTGGCTTGGACTGAAGAGGCAAGACTTGTTGAACCTCCACAAGGCCTTGGGCTGGAGGGCCGCAGGCTGGGGTGCCATCCATGCCTTGGGGGAGCTCATCTACGTCGTAAGCCAACAAGGCTTTTTGTCGATGTTCCAGTTGGCTGGAGAGAAAGGCGAGAATCTGCTGTATCTGATGGGGCTGGTCACGGCACTCCTGCTGCTTGTGCACACGTTGGTCGCTTACCTGCGCAGACAGGCATTCATCCGCAGGACTTTCAAAGCCACCCACCGGACAACTGCCAGCTTCCTCCTCCTCAGTGCCACTGTACACTGGTGGCCCTTCGCGCTCTTCCTCCTCCCTGCTGCAGCTGCCTATGGCACTTCGGCTGGCCTAGGTGTGGCCTCGCAATTTGGTCGCCAGGTCTCCGAAGCTCGGAACAGCTTCGCGCTGGCGGCCGCGGTCCTTGGGGCCTTTGCCGGCCTCTGCGTAGTTTGGAAGGTGCGAGAGTCTGTAATGCTTGCCGAAGGTGTTGGGCTACTGATTCCCTTCGTCTTCCCGCCTTTAGCGCTGCTGGCGGAGTTCGCAGTTGCAACGGCAGTGTGCCTTCCCATCCTAGTCACCGGCCCCGTGCTGCACTCCGAGCCTCTTCTGGGATAAGCGGGCTGCTGATGAACCGCGCAATTTTGAGTTATGTTGAATGCCGACTTCATCCCAGTGGGTGTGTGGTCTGACGCCACTGGAGCTTGAAAGGTCAAGGAGGGGTGTGGTGAGTTGCTGCTCAAAGGCAGAACATTTTTTTAGGCTTCGGAGTGCTTGATATGCTTGGGATCATGCGTGTCTGTGAGACTGTAAAACATGTCTTGCAGATGACATCAAAATGTCACGGCCGTCCCGTGACAAACTGCAGGGTGCTGACAGCTGGCCTTCTTCGTCACGAGTTTACTCATTCTGTCATCCTTAACAACTTACAGCAAGTCTTTACACGACCTCATTTGTTACCGCAGGTCCTTCGCTAGCTGGCAGCATTTTTGAAGACTAAAATTCAGATCCTAATGGGCATGCATTCACGCGGCAGAAAGACCAATCGCAGAAGAGTCCAGCAGTTTTTGCAACCATCGCAACTCATCGCAAGTCTGCTCTGTTCACGAGTTCGTGAGGTGCGGGACACCTCCCACCGACTTGCTTGCTGGGCTCACGGATAGGTTGGGTACTGCAAGATGCTTTCGCCCGCGGCCAGCCTATGCATTGCTCCTGGAATGTGTCTTCTGAAGCGGGGTGAGCGTGGTTTGGGGGCAGAGACGCTGCCAATATCTGTGATGCACAATCCAAAAAAGCAAAGGCAGAGGTATGACCCATGCAATGAGTGAAGATCATTGATCCGCTTCGTCATTCTTGGAGTTGGTCCCCGAGACATTTGTAGCTCAGACATGCTGCAGAAGTGATGTCTGTTGCATGCATCAAAAACATTCAGAAGTTGTTTGCTGAAGACATCACCCTAACATAGACATAGCCCACGCGGCCAGTGCCACGGGCGGTAGCATCCGGAGCTGGGTGTGGACTGACTAGACGGCAGCTCGTGAGCACGTGCCAGTCGATGAAACCGGCAACCACATGTGGTGGTCACGAGAACGTAGTTAGGCGTCATGGATGCCTTCGGTTTACCGCCGAACAAGGCGCATGTGATGCTGATAGTGGAGAGATGCTTCGGGAAGAGGATGACCAGTCTCTGTTGTCACAGACGCGGCACATGGCAGAGGCCTTGCGAACAGACGGGGCTTTCCAGAATGGTGGGCCCACTTCTAAGAGAGCTGTCGTCAGCTCGAGGACCTTTTTGAGGTGCCAGCCTGGGGTGCACCTTTACTTGTCAGTGTTAGTGTGTAAGGTCGTCTGCAGGGGTCCCTCCAGAACTACAAGCACTGCTCCAGCCACCTGTCGGCAGTGGAACGGGTGATGACTGGCTAAAGTTGAAGGTTTTGACAATGCTTGTGGTGACACGCGAGCCGCTGGTTTAATCGAAGTTTAACCAACTCCTGATGCTCTCTGTGCCTAAATTCTCAGAAATGCTTGAAACAAATCTGCACAAAGTCGCCTCGCCCTCATCAAGGCATCCACGTTTCTGGGCACAAAGACAAGGCACAGGCAAGCTGAGGTCGGTTTGGCAAGGGCAAGCAACCGAACGCTAAAAGTCGAAAATCTCTGGCCACGCTGCTTAAAGACGCATGCAGAGCCATATGCCTGAAACCCAGAAATTCTCAAACCACCGGAATGAATGAGGAGCCTGCCTCCAGAAGCACAAGCAGCGGCGGTTGCAGCCGCACAGGCTTTGGGAATGCGTGGACCTTGAGTCGATATACTTGTTGACAGAACGACAGAACGCTGAAATTGCCAGAAGTAGGAATGTTTGTGATGTTGAGGCGACCGGGAGCATGAGTGTCAGGAGCGGGTTTTGGGGCTCAGGTTTGGGTTGGTTCAAAAGACTGCACGGCCTCCAAGTCCTACGCTTAGCCGACCCAAGCCTGCTCGGCCCAGTCCAGCTCCTGCAGCTGCAGCTCCGGGATCAGGTCAAGCGGAAGGGAGGGAATGTGGGCGAGAGCACATCCATGCCCAACGCCGTGAGTCACGAAGAATTTGGCAAACATTTTGAGCTGTGGCAGCTGGATCCATGTTGTCCTTGGGTATCATATTGGTCTGCTCAGCTTTGTGTATCAGTGCCCAGTATACATTGGTGTTTGCACTCGGAGCAGGGGTGAATGTTTCACATCCAACCCTGATGGCAGAATTTTCAAGGTCCCCCACAGGTCTATCTCAATTGCTTTCCAAGACAGTCGGGCAAAGCATTAGCTGATACCGTTTTGGCTTCTTGGTCTTGGCTTTCTCAAAGCACGATACCAACGCCGTCGATTAAAGTAATGCCGTGTTGAGCCAACTCGCAGACCCTGTGACGGCTGTGCCTGCGATGTCCATGTCATCACCCTTCCCGTCGGTGTGAGCTGCTCAGAGACATGGTCGTGATGAACTGTGAGACCGAAGTGCTGCAAGCCGTGAACAGTGCTTTTGTACATAGTTCTGAAAATAACCGATGCCCCAGGTCCGGTCAGGCACCGACACCTCGAGTGATTCCGCAGGGCGCCCTGCACCATTTCGGGCCTGAGGGGAGGGATGAGGTGCTGAATCCGGATTGTCATTTTCAGGAACAGCCGGAGACTTTCCCAACCAATGACAGGGTTTAGTGTTAAAATCGAAACTGCAAGCCTTCATATCTGAACTAGGCTGTCTGTGTTCGTTCCGCCAAGGCCTCCACAGCGCATGATGCAAATGGGGTCAGGGGCTCAGGTAGAGGCGACTCTTCCAGAGAGACCACCTCTGCAGCCGAACAAACAACCATGACGTGAATTAATAGAATGTCTTCGACACAGAGGCTACCAATGGAAGGCTTGGTTGGGGATGTTGCTGATGATTTTTGTTTTCAAGCTGCTATGTTTGAGCATGTCATGCGATTCATTGTTCTTCGGCGACTCCTGGGAAAAGGTGAGGTACATTTGTGCTTTCATGTCGCATCGTAGGCTAGACAGACGAAGCAAACTTTTTCGAGCTGAAAAAGCATGCCTGTGCAGGCTTTCACTTGCAGGGCACAAAGTCTTTCTATTCATAGACGATCGAGAAGATACTGACCTTTCTGATTGAGCAGTTAGGAACGCCGGAAGGCCTGCACACACAATTGCTTTTGAAAGCTTCAGCTTTGCATCAGAGTGTGAGCTTCCTACTTCAGAAAGGCGAAACGGAAGTCAGGACACGTGACGATCCCAATCCAAGACCTCGAGAGCTCAGGAGTAACGCAACAGAGGCATCACTGGTCCCTCCGGGCCTGCCGGGAACTGAGGGGAGAAAGGCGTGGAAGCCATCCGGGAACAGCCGTTGCAAGTGGGAGCATGTACAAAGGAATGTACCTACAGATAGCGATGGAAGAAGCCCGGGAAGTCGACGCTGGGAGGCTCTAGCACAAGCCGACAGAGATGTCGTATATCGATAATGATTGGCTCCGTGTTGTGATGACCGTCCTCTTGTCCGGTGGGTCTGAGGTGATGGTAGGAGCAGGAGGGCAGTCAACCGGTCCGTGTGAGGAGTGTGTGTCTGTGTGTGTCTGTGTGTGTGTGTGAACTCCTCTC